CAAAGACAGCAGAGAGGTGTTGCTTCTGTGATAATGTGACTCTTTTTTTCACCTTCCCCAGGACCAGGTCTGCCAAGCCCGACCTCTTCAGGAACAGAGCTGCGTCGGCTGCCGCCACCCGCCCACTGCCAGTCGGATCAACCTTCACACAAACACAGATACAGACACACAAGCCCAAATATACAGTCATTAGAGCACATCCCATTTCAGAACATCAGTGAGACAGCTGTGCTGCTAACATAGGTCAAATGATATAGGTCACAACACAGTGTTTGGACTGGAGAAAGCTCAAGCAAAAAGAGAGAAGCAAATAAGGAACAAATGAAAACGGTGAGAATTGCCCTGTGAGGTAGGGCAGTCTCTCAGTACTTGAATCAATACTGATTATAAACCAAAGCTATTTCCTCAGCAGTCTATTAGCTTGGTATTGGATCTGTTACAACTCTTTCATGAGGCTCACAGTGAGCTCCCCTGACACATTGGGCAAAGGGAAGCATTATTAATTCATAGATACTTCCTTTACTGGACACAGAGACTGGAACTGGTAGCAGAGAGAAGAGATCACTGCTCACTACAACACTACATTTCATTAATGCAGATAAAGCTGGTTTTAAAGTTTAAGGATTAGTACACCCAAAAACAATCTAACATCTAAATTCATGTACTTCTCTCTTGATCTTTTTTTGTATTTCAGTCAGGTCTAACCCAGAGCAATTTAAAGCACAATGCAGTGAGTTAAATCAACTTAAAATTACTACATCAAACAATATCAATGGGCTCACTAGTTGATGATATACTGTGCACATGTTGTAAGCAACGTGAAAGACAAAAGGATACCATGATCTGAGTTCAATAAACCATTATTTTTTGTTTTTGGATAAATGTATTTGCATACCTGTCGATAGTATTTGTCATAGATGGGATTTCCACTGGAGAGCTATTGAGGAAGAAGAAAACAATTCCACATTAAAAACAGTTTGACTGAACAGATGATTTTTTACCATATTTATACACTTACACACACTGTAACCGCAGTTGTCACTGCTCAAATGGTCATGTTTAGGTTGGTGCAGGAAACTTATCAAATCCCTTTAAAGTTACAATTAAAGACAGAATGACAGTCTGAGACAGAATGAACTAATACTTAAAAAGCTTTCTCAATTCTGTAGATTCAGTGTACAAGCTCAAATGATCAACAAGTGTTTGCTGGTTACAGTAAGTGTGTCATCCACTAAGCCAGGAAAGCTGTCAAAATCAAAAAAAAAAAAATTACAGATGGAGAAGGCAGACACACAGACTATAACCAATATGTTAAAATTCTGAATTATTTTTATCGACCTGTTTACTATTGAGTATCTTAGTTTTTCCCAAAACAAATACAGCTTACGAATGCTGACCTACAGTTCAGGTAGGATGAGACATTATGACAACTCCAGGCATGACAGTATTGTAACAATGCCAGATTAAGGCTGGAATAACCAGTCTATAATTTTTTTTTTTTATTCTTCAATGAATCGTTCAAGATTTAAAATGCCGCAAAATTGTGAAACATGCCCAGTACAATTTCCCAGAGCTGTAGGTGAAGAATGCTAAATGCTTGTTTTGATCAACCAACAGCCCGACCCCAAAATACATTTAGTTTACAATTATATAAAACAGCAGGCACATTTTACAGATGGAACCAGCAGATATTTTTCATTTTTGATTCATAAAACACTTTATCTGGGGCAGTAAAGTAAATATTTTTGAGTAGTATACTCTCTTACACCATACAGTGGACTAGTATGAGTCAGAGTGACACAGAAGGTTTCTGCTGAATTGTACGCAGAGGGAGTAATGACTAGTGTGTCTGTCTTCAGGATATAGGCTACACTTCCCAAGGCTACTGATGGCCATCTTTAGACAGTTATAGCAGGGCGTCACTCTACAGACAACAGTTAATTTGGCCTTCTGTCACATCCTCCCTGAACAACCCTCTTTCCTCTGTTAATACGATTGTCCACTGCTGGGCTGAACAGGAAAAGAATCAGCATTTCCTTCTTCATATAGCTGAAACTGACAATCTGTTGTTGTGCTTTCAAATTGACAGGTGCAGCGAAGGAGGAAAGAAGTTGACAGTAACTGAACTGTGAATCAACTGGGGAGTGTCCATTCAACTAGTGGGCGAAACTGTCTTTGAATTTCTCCAGAGACATGCAAATACAACGGCAACTGTAAAACACGGGCAAGAAGAAAAAATATCTGTAAAGATCTGGATGGATGTCAGTCTTGTTACAGACTTATACACATAGCGCGGACACAGAAGACGACACGCAAGGAAAACACAGCCTTTGATCAGTGTAGTCATTTGTCAGCTCTGTCAACTGCCAATTTTCAGCGAGATAACTGTTCACACACACTTATCTTTCTCTGGCCAATGCAACTTTTTTTCTGTGACACACAATAGTGTGCCTGGAACTGTTGGCGGCTGTAACACTGTGGTCATTGTACTGGTGACTCTTTAATTGAGCATTGAAAAAACACCCCTCAATCATTCCCCAGCTAGCCCATACAAAACTGCAGCAGATAGCAAGATACATTACAGTGCAGGAGGTGACAGGCCACTCTAGTTTGTTCGAGAAATTTCAACTCCCTAATCCACCCGTGGCAATAAAACACATTAATGTCACTACCAACACCAAACAGTAGGTGAGTGTGAGGATGATCAGGTGGAAAAGCTGACAGCACCTAAAACAAGCATTGCTGTCTGGCAAACCAATGAACTCTCACAACACAGGGATATCAGCTCAGGTTTTTTAAACTCATCTGAAAGAGATAAAGATGTCTGCTCTGTTGACAGAGGCCACAGTGGCTCAGGTGACAAGTCTGAAACTGTAACCTACTTATTAGACCTGGCTGCTGACTGCTAAATAACTTATTTATTGTGCAAAACAAACCCATTCCCACACATATTGTGGTATTTAACGTAGCTACGACAGACTCACATTTTGTGACAGCAGAGATGGCTATTTGCAACTCAAGTTTACTTCCTCTTATTGGTTGCAAAACAACTATTAACACTATTTGGAGCCTTTTTTCTGTTAACATTATGGACACCGGACAACCACAGCAGCTAACATGCTAACAGTTAACGTTGTTGTACACTTTATAAAGGTCACAGGGAAAACACTAACCCAGTCTGTGGAGCCTGTTTACTTCTAATAATAGCCATAAACAGGTTGGTTATTCAGTCTAACCATATAGCAAGCTACATAAGCAGCAAGAAAATTACCAACGTAGACTATTTATGTTTCATGTTTGTAACTTGATTAACTAATTTATGGCGGAAAACAATGTTAGCAGAGGTTGAACTAGCAGAAAGATGACAGGAAAGCCACAATAGAGCCACACATGGGTGTCTCGCGTTAACATCTCTTAGACCAGGACCAACTAGCCTGCAGCAAACCGAGGCAGCACAAATTGTAATTATATAGACTCCCAAACCGAAAGGAAGCCAAGTAAGGCTACAAGGCTTATCTCAAGTTTGATAAAGCGGCTCTATAACAGCCCAACACTGCACACAAACTAGCTGTTAGCTAGCATGCTAGCTAGCTACGCCCTTACGCAGTCCCCAAAGAGATTAGGCAGAAACTTTTCCCAGTCACAGCAGGACTTAACTTCCCAAAAAGAGGGACGAGGGTCGAGATAATGCCGCCTTTCTGCCTGCCCTGATTCACTAACACTGATGAAATGTCCCCCGAACAGAGCACGGTCAGAAAAGGTTTGCAGTCGTTAGATTTGAGTTGTAAGACAGTGTTACCTGAGTAAGAGACAGAGTGGCAGCCATAGTGTTTCTGTTTCCCACTGCTTTCATGCTGCGCTGCTGCCAGACACAGACAGGGGCCGCTGAAAAACCTGGCACTGGACCTCCACGACCGGGATCAGTCGGGACTGTGGCCTGGGAGTGCACACTGTACTCATTCAAACGTCAGCCAAAACGTTTTCCCTAAAACTTATATATTATAAACAAAGTATGGTTTTATAGTGTTATATTTCATTTAATTATTTGTATTTCTCATATTTCATGTTACCATTCAGTTATATTTCTGTAAATTTCATTTCATAGCATGAAGGTGCAAATGTTGTTTCAAAGCACACTCCACTCTACCAGAAATAAAAATCTGGTAGAGGAACAAGGAAACCTTTATTGGCCTTAAAATTGTTAAATTAAATTTAAGTATCATAAGTCTGAGGTGGCCTACGTCCTGGTATATATCATATACATACAGTATATATATATATGTTTACATATATATCGTCATGGTATTTAAACCTTTTGTATTAGAGCTGAGTACTTGCACTGCATTCTTTTTTATTTTTGTCTGTTGTTTTTATAAAATATAATCATTTGTTCTGTTGTCTACATGTTTACTATATGTAGCTTTCTGGCCACCGTGGTGGAGGAGGGTTTTTTTTGTATACTGGTGCTATTATACAACCCCCCAAAATACTGAGGGCATTACTTCATTAATGTGGCCCAATAAGTAAAAAGTAAGCAAGTAAAAGCCTTGCATTTAAACTCTTTTACTTAAGTAAAAGTACATAATTCTGCTAAAAGGCTCATTTATCACTATATATTTGTTACCTCTATTATCTTAATTTTAACTACTTTATATACAAATGGGTTGTTTAATCTATACATAGTTTTATCAGCAGGTCATGTTTTGTATGTGAAATCTGAACTTGCAAAGTAACTAGTAATTAAAGTTGGCAGATAAATGTAGTGGAATAAAAAGTGCATTTCCCTGTGAAATGTAGTCATGTACAAGTAAGAAGCTTAAAGTACAAATACATAAGTATAAGTACGATAAATGTCACCAACGAAACAAATAAAAAGCCCTACAGGCCTGTGATATCCAGTTAGCCAATGAAAACAAAATATTACTGTTATATAAAAGACATAACAATAATAATAAATCAAAAAACATGAAATTGAGAAGCACATCAGCTCATTTTCTTCCAGTTGTTTTTATTGGACAGAACATCTGTCTTTTTTTTTTTTGTTTGTTTTTTACACAGCAACATGAAAATCTTCCCACTTCAGTTACTACCATTAGTACAAAATGTATCTTTTACAAAAGGGTCATCTTTCAGACTGTGACAGTATGTTGGGGGTACAGCAGTGCAGAGATGTTGGCATCAGAAATGGGGAAATTTGTTGTGTACACCAACAATGGGTAAACCATAAGTAAATGCGTACCGAATGAACGAAGGCTTTCCTGCTACTGGCGTGCTTTAAATGTACGTCTGAGTTTGAGAACAGTTTCTTTAGACACACAAGACTACAGTATGTGCATTGAAGTGAAAAAGTGTTAACTTTACAGTACAAAACTATGCAAGGGATTTCATCTTAAAGCACCCCATATTACCACCTTATGGACGACAGCTTTTTTGAACAGGTTGTCAAACGTATAGTGTTAGTCCTTTTGCACTCTTGTCCCCATGCCATTAACCCTTGTCTGGATCAGGAGAGGTTTAAATAAGAGTAGGCAGAATAACCTGCATAATGATGTCTGACTCTGTTGAATCCCTTGATATCAACATGAAGAGGAACTTGAGACAGTAACAGGACTGACTACAAAAGATTAACAAAAACAAAAAGACATGAAACAGATTAATAAGACAAAAATAAAACACATGAGGTAAACAAAACATTTACACGGTATCGTTCACATACCAAATATAGCTTTTCATGTCACCACAACATTATACTTCATTAAGACCCAGATTTTTCCAAACAGAAATGACCATTTTTATATTTCTGGGTACAAATGCGAAACAATTTAGGTTTAGAATTTCCGGTCCTGACATTCTTTATGACATCTTCATTCTTTTCCATTACTATTCCTCATTTAATAACGATAATAATAATAGTAGTTGCACATGGAAACAGGAAACAGAACAGCAATTGCCCTTTTTGCCTCTTCCCTTGCTTTGTAAACAAAAAAACTAATGAAAAACCCCATCCCACCCAACCCCACCCCAGGGTGTCAGTCATGAGGGTCTATCATCTCAGTCACCAGCCTTTTTCCAATGGCTCACCGACTCAGAGAGTCAGGTTCTTCTCTAAGCAGTTCCTGCACGGAGTTTATAACTCATCCTTGAGTTTAGAGTCTGTGCCTTCATCTTCCTCCTCTTCTTCCTCCTCCGGCTCTTCCCCCTCCTCCTCTTCGTCTTCCTCTTCCTCCTCATCTTTCTCCTCTTCCTCCTCGTCTTCCTCCTTTGCCTCTTCTCTCCTCTTCTTGTCCTCCTCCTCACGTTTCTTTCTCTCCTCTTCCTCTTGGCTTTCCTTCATCTTCTTCTCTGCATCCTAGGGTAGATGTAAAAAGCAAATTTAAAAGTGATGAATAACTCATTCCTTAATGATTAAACGTCATTTAATACAACAACCACTAAGCACTGAAATTAAAGTTTGCATATCTGTACGTACTAAAGATGTATGAGAGGGACACATGACTACATGCAGTTTGAAAACTATTAAAGATACAAGTTTTGGGCTTACCTTAGTTTTACCCCATGTGTCGTTGCCTACTTCCTCTGCTAGGTTCGGGTCATTGGTGATCAGGAAGTTGTCAAAGATGGTACCAGACTTGACCTACATAAAAAAAAAAAAAGAAAAAAGAATTAGCATATTTTTCAGTTGGGTATTTCATACTTTCATATGAAGGGAAATGGAAATGCTACGTTTCCTCTATGTCCCTAGCATTTCCATTTCCCTTCATATGAAAGTGAAAAGAAACAATATTCACTGACTGACACAAAAAGTTGCAGCGGCTCCAACTCAAAATAAGACACAGCAAAGTGTGCAAGTAAAACTTTCCTATTTTTGGCTGTATATGATTAAACTAAAAGTACAAGTTAATTTTAATTTAACAATTTCAGCAAATTGACTCTTTATTAAGTGGCTTCAGTATCTTCTTACCTGCCACAAGTCGAGTCCAATCACACCAATGCTGTTGTATTTATAGATCTCAGAGTCGGCTGTGTACTCCGGGTTGTCAATCTCAGGGTGGATCCACTTGCCCTTGTAGGCAGGATTGTTGATTTCTCTGGGTTTCCACTCACCCTGTTGACAGCAGACAGACACAAAGCCAAGAATTATGGTTAATGTCAGAGGAATCACAAAAGTAAATACATCTGCTGATTAAGAAGTTTCTGTGGAATAATTATGCCCGCGACTGGACAGAGGACAGGACAGTTAGTGAGGCAATAACGCAAAAATATGTCAACGTTTGTAAAATATTTTAGAATTTGGGACATTTAAAATGAAAGAAAGGATCCCTCACTGTATTTCATGATGTCAAACTTAATATTTTATCAATTATTTGAATCCATTCATTTATTATATAATGGATCATAATTCAAGTTTTGCTCATATTGAAACACAGGCTATGTCCAAAATCACTCCCTCATCCACATCACTGAGAGGTGTAGTGTTGCATAAATCTGATTTTCACAGCTATCAAATGGTTAGGAGTTGTAAGGTGGGGTTTTTATTACAAAGGTGTGCATTTTTGTTACATTGCATGAATCTTTGTGGGCACTATACAGGCCATTAATTTGATTTTACACTGAGAATTTGAGCACTCAAATTAAATGGCCCAAAGTGAATACACTGAACTAGGTAGTAAATGGAAAGTTATTTAAGACACAGGAGTCGTGTAGCAGTGTTATAACTATTTGTTGTTCACCTTATAATCAGGGTTGGTGACCATAGGTGGCTCCCATTCTCCGTCCATCTCATCATCCCAGTCATCAGGCTTCTTAGCATCAGGATCTGGGATGTTCTCAGGCTTCTCCCAATCCTACACAATTTCATAGAAATTAAGAGAATTTTGTCTGTTAAGATAAAGATAAGAAAGAAAAAATAGACCCAAAAGGACTATGAAAAATATAAACAGATGGCTCAATCTGACTGACCTCTGGTTTCTTATCGTCAGGGTCAGGAATCTTCTCCCTGTCGTCCCAGTCCTCTGGCTTTTTGGCTTCAGGGTCCTTCATTTTTTTTGGAGGCAGGAAGTCCCAGTCGTCCTCCAGATTGCCAGACTCAACCTTCTTATTGTCGATCTTGACCTCATAAGTGTTGTCAGGGTTGACAATCAACGTGTACAAGTGGGAGTACTCATCATCCTACAGAACAGAAAGGAAATGTGAGCAGCTATTGTGATTGGGTTTGATGCATGAATGATTTCCATAAAATGTTTTTATAATGATATACACTTTCCACTTTCAACATGTACTTGCAGATTTGGTTTTATGATGTGCAGGACAATAGCAATTCTGCTATAACAAATCGGCCAAGCATTTGAGCATACAACGTAAGGGCACATTTATTCATTCAAAAGGGAATTAGAAAAAGCGTTTGCCAGTTCCCAAATAAATATTAAAACAAGAACAATTTAATGATGTCTCACCTTGCATCTGATGTCCTTGTTAATCAGATGGTTCTTGCCTTTGTAGTTGAAGATAACATGAACTTTCTTTGTGCCAGGGCCACAAATATCAGGACCTTAACAAACCCACAAATAAACAAGTGAAAATATGTTATCCAGTCCTTCAGTTAACAGCAGCACTTAAGCAAACACAAAGAACACCTCAAATTTATCTAAAATTAAATAAACTTTCAAAACACTTTGCCAGACAAAACCTGTGCCTTTTTAAAGTGGGTGACAGTAAATCACAAGTGTGTGCCTATTTGTCTGTGTATAGAACTAAATTAAGAGCTGTAAAACTGTGCTGAAACATAATGACAAGAAAAAAATGCTACCAACGCAGATCTTCTGAATTGTCAAGGTGACTGCTCTTACAGAAGGCTTGTACTGTTATCACTGAGGAATATTCATAAAAGACATAGTCCTTTGGCAAACTGTCCAAACTTACCAAACATGATGTTGTAGACAGAGTCTCCATGCATGTCATCCTGGTTGACGTCAGAGGGAAACAGTTTAATGTAGCCTCCACCACAGTCAATGCTCTGCTCATGTTTCACAGAAAACTGGATGACTAGAGGCTGGCCCTGGTTGCTGAAATCATCAAAACGGGTTGACAAGGCGTAGAAGCGGGCGTCCTGGCTCGTCTGCAGACCTGCATTAGAAACAGTGTTACTGCAATGTGACTACATTAAGGGAAAATCTAGCGTAAACCAGTCATCATGTTGTGGCTATAAAACTGTGCCGGTTATTTTGAATTTGTGAATTTGAACAAGTCTGCAGTTGAACAACAGACTGTTGTGATGATGTCATGTAGAGACAAATACTGGCGCTGCTCCACAGACAGTGAATAATGGAACAACTCTGAGACACTCTAACTGCACCCATTGCGATTTCACTGGAATATGGGCACATTTCAGAATCACAGCTAGAGGCCCCACATTCAGAATAAATATCTCAAATTATAACAACATGTGAAGCCCACACACTAGTTCAGTATCATCTGAACTCCAGTGCCCTCTCCAAAAAATGTCCATCACTTCAAGTCTTTTTGCTTTTTTTTTGCTGTGCACATGCATATTTCAGCTTTAGTGTCCTAACTCACTGGAATAAAATCATGTAACTACATCTTTAATACAGATCAGTGCTTCCTCAGTTATGTTGCACTAGCAAATCAAATCAAATAGCAGTCAGCTCTAAACCTGACTTAACATCCTTGACACAAGCTGCAATCAAACAGATGACATATACCCTTATGCTAAAAAGAAATTCAGCTTAACAACCAAAAGTTATGTGATTTAACCGTCTTGCATAGGGGCAACAGATCCACAGTATAACAATAAAAGTTAACCTTTTCACTCACCTTTGTCTTTCTCTGCATCTCCATAGAATTTCCCTGCCGTCAGCACAAACTTGCCATAGTCTGACTTGTGCTTGGATTCAGCCCAGCGACTCGTCCAGGCATCTGCACAAACAATTTTAGGGTTCACATTTGAAAAGACTCACAAGCTGCCAATCTACCACCAATGATGCATTAGTGCAGGTGCAATGGGAATGTGTTAGGCTGCCGGAGCCTGCACTGTGTTTTGCCTTCACCATCCTCCCTGTGTCTGCAGTGAGAGTTGTGTTGGAAGAAGAGGACAGCTAGGTGAAGGAGGGGGGAACAGTGAATGACCAGGGCCAGAGATGTGCAGTAGAGGGGGGATGGGGAGGCAGCGAGGGTGTGATGATGGCTGGAGGAGGAGGAGGAGGAGGAGGGAGTGGAGAGGAAGGGAGAGGATAGGGGGGTCAAAGATGAATGGCAGTAATGTAGACTAAATTCATCTCTATCTGTGCAGTAAGCAGACAATGCATCATAGAAATGGAGGTAAAATCACAAGATCATGTCAAAAATTCATTCATTAAGCCGACAACCCACCAGAAGAGAAGTCGACCGGTTTTATCAGCTACTCTACACAACATTGTAATATCTGACATATTCACACTTTCAACAAATCACAACAAAGACAGTTAAATGATGAAGGTATAATTTTGTGTAAAAGGACCTCACCCCCGTCTTCAAATTGCTCTCGGAAATACACAGTAGACTCGGCCAGGGCAGACACGGCCGACACGGCCATCAAAAGCAGCGACAGGGCTGTCATTGTGACGACCTGAAGCACCCTGTCAAATGAACAACTAACGAACTATAAACACAAATTAATCTATATAATGTGGCAGCACGATGCAGCAGCAGTTGTTTATCGGTCCAGACTGTCATACAGTGATGTTACAGTAAGAAGCACCGGGACACCGCTGCCGCTCGCCTCTCGGCTCGGAACAGATGTCTGAATCTGATTGGACGTCAGCATCGAACCTCAATAAGGAAGCGTTCCCGCACTCAGCCAATCACAGGAGAGAAAATCTTGAGGAATAATCACCGTAGCCAATGGGCGCAGACCACGCGTTCGCTTGATACACGCCCAGGGAAGGGTGATGCGCCGCGAGTGAATCACATGAAGAGAATAAATCTCAATAAACACGAATAAATAACATCAATAGATGTTTTGTATGAGTCATTTAAATGTATATTAAGCTAAAAACGTTAGCTAAGATAGCTAGCCTAGTAAAGGTTATTTATTGTTTAAAAGATTTCAGATTTGTGAAACCTTTATTCTATTTGTCAAAACACAAAAAAGAGCAATTTCACTGCTGTATTGCCATGCAGACTGCATGGACCAGGTCTAAATAAAAAAAAAATCACCACAGCTAGACAGGTAAAAATAAATAAACAAATAAATTAATTAATTCATTAATTAAAGGATTCACAAACGTGAATCGTGAAACGTTGCTCAGATTTGACAAGTGTATGTACAATGGTTTTGGAATTGACATTCTTCTGCTTTTATTTCTTTTTCTCTCAGTGTCATTTAAGTTTCCCTTAACTGCTGAATCAGAAGCTAACTTCAGTTTCATAAATAGTTTGATGTATACAGCTGTGAAAAACATGCTGATTTTTAAAGATCCCCTCATGAGATGTTTTGACATATAAAATACTGTATTTACTTGTGTCTTCAACTACCAACTATCTTCATTATCAACTAATCCCATTATTTTCTTGATGTTTAAATTCCCTTTTTTTGTCCAACCGACGTTCAAAATTAGTGAAAGTTATTCCATTTACTGTCATGGAAGACTACAAGAAACAGCAAATATTTGCATCGGGGGAAGTTGTAAAAAGTGAATTTTTGGTATTTAAACCTAAAAACTAACTCAAGCAATATTTATCAAAATTCTAGCCAATTATTATTTGCTCTTGATTTATGTAGGAGGTTTCTACCAAACCTGGCATGAGGCGCTTCCATTTAGAAAAAGAAAAATAGAAGGCACCATGCAGTACAATAAACATATAACTGAGATTTTTGACAAATTAATCTGTTCATATTGTTGCATTAAATAAAAACAGCCGTTGTTGGTTTACTGTGGGTGTTTTATTTCCTTAAAACAATGTCTGAGATCATTTCTTTCCACATTGTTCATGTGTTGTGACCCTTTGACCTTTAGAGAGCAAAATCTCTAAAGCAGACCAACTCAGACTGGTGTGAGTGTATGTGTGAGGTAAAGCAAGTCAATGAATAAACTATGCCCCAAAGTAACAAGGTAAAATTCTGTATATGAAGCAATGATGGCTCATAAAATTACTGAGATCAAAAATGAATAATTAAAAGCATTATTCTTGAACACATTGGCACAAAAAAAAAATCTGATTTTCAAATAGATTCAATGTTTGTGACACCTAGTCCCACACGCTTTTTCCAGTAACAATTTCAAGTAACATTTCCATCAGTGTTGTTAGCTGTTATACAGTCAGTGCTTCACACCTCAATGCCATTTAATGTTCATTAGAAGCCAAGTTAATGGCTTACAGAACCACTAAATGTGCATTTAAGTCCACATAAATAATCAGGTACAGAAACATGTTCAAATATGGCACGAATGATGTCAATAAATAATCAGTGCTAATATAAGCACAATGTCTGACATGCAAATACCAACACAATAAGTATGACCATATCTAAACATAAGAACAACTGTTGACTTTGTGACTTTGGCCAAGGTGAACAGACATAAATAATGTGACATGACAAAATGTCTATCAGTATTCCTCTATAACATACACTGCACAACCACTAATATCGTCTTCTGCACTTCTTCATCTCGACACTGTGAGGATTCAAACCAGGCAGGTGAAGAACGGCTGGTACACTGCATATGATGACTGTCTGGCATGAACACGTTTCCTGCGACACTACATATGTCTGCTGGTGAGCCACGCTGCTACCCCCCCCCCCCTTCATGCTGGACCTGCCCTACTGCCTGGCCGTCTCTGAGGGACCTGGACAGACACATGTTGTATCTGTGGGGGTGGGGCGAGGAGAGTATGTAGTGCTGAGCAGAAAAGACACATCTCCTCTGAGGCTCTGTATGCAGATGGGCTGGTAAAGCAATCTCACACCTCCTCCAGGTCTCTCTCTCCATCTGTCTTTCCTTCTAAGGGAGAAAGAAGTTGATCCTCTGGGGTATGGACTTGCATCCCTGGGCTGAGAACAGTCTCTCCTCTTTGGGGACATACAGCATCGCCTTGGCCACCTCATCCAGCGTAGCTTCGTCTGTCTCCAGACCTCGGGCTGCGTAGGCGTCCCGTGCACAGAGCTTGATGTGGCGGTACTCCAGAGGCAGGAAGGGCACGAAGAAGTCGATTAGGTGGCCAGACATCAGTTCGCTCTGCGCAAACCCACCTGGGAGAGAGAACCACACAGAAAAATTGTTACAAATTCCCAAACACAATTCAAGTTCCACCAATCAATGTTTTTATAGCAAGGTATAAAAAACTTTAATGTGAAAGGGTTGTTCATACCATTGATCCCGCCAAGAATCAACACCCCCATAATTGTTTTGGTCAATCAGAGCAGTCAAGTAATTTTAACTTTCACTGACCCCTATCACCCATGTAAAAAAAATACATGCAGCGCAGACAATAACATAGGAAAATAGTTCACCTCCTGAAATGGCAGAGAATTGAAGTAAACTAGTAAAATCACTTCTCAATTACTGCTGCATACCTTGAGACTCCATTGTTTCAGTTCGCAGCCGATGCTCCAGGTCTTCCATACCGATGTCTTCTCGATTCTGACCGGAGTGCCAGAAGTCCAACGCTACGTCGTTGATTGTTGCCCCACCAATATTACTACAGAGAAGACAGAGAGGTTGTTATGTATTTTGTTAAATATAGATTATTCCTGGACAAATGATCACAGATTAGGGTTGGCTGATTATTAAACTTTTTTGCTTGTTGTGTTTAAATATATTAGCTTCATACTTAAACATTGACACTTAGTTATTGTGACACAAATTTATTTTCTGTAGAAGCAATATTAATTTCAGTGAAATGTAGTTTGACTATTAATAATAATGCAAATTCAACATGATGACATGATTGTTAAACATGTGATTTTGTATTTGTTACCATAGAGTTTTAGTGATCCACGGCCTCTCCTACATCATATCACTGTAGTGAAAAATGCCTTTCTATGTTTGACTAAACAGATTATCTGTCAGCAGAAATCGGACATGAGTAATATAAAACATGAAAAATCCATAAAGAGGGCTGATGGAGACAGAGGAAGAAACATCCTTCATCACAGATGAGCTGTCAGAATATCTGTGCCAGAGGTGTAAGACACTCTGAATGGCAGCAAGTTTCTGACCCAGCTTCAAAAGACAGGACATACCTGAAATAAAGGACCAACCTGAGGAAGAGGAAGATGGCTCTGCGGTAGCTAACCCCATCAACATTGTCATAGTGATCCATGTAGGGCTTGATGGCATCGATGAGGCCTGGGTGAAGCTTCTCAGCCTCGTCGAAGATGAACAGAGTCTGAGAGCAACGCAACACCATGTCCCGGATTGCTTCTCGCAGCTGACCCTGGATACAAGGAGGAAGACCAAACTATAGTGTAAAAAAAAAAAAACCCACTAAAATCTCTAAATATACAAAAGAAAATGAAGACAGTTTTTTTTTTCATTTTTTCCATTGCACTTTAATCATAAGAGAAAAATGTAATTTAAAATAATTTGCTATTTTTATTATTGATATTTATCATACAATGGAAGAGCTGTTATCATTTATAAGGGACACCTATTTGAGACACGTAGTCACAGTAATATATCAGAATTCAGAGTCCACATTTACAAATTCTGCAGATTCTGATAGTATCAGTATAAAGGTTATCCTGTGTACTATACTCTGTTGAATCTGGATTAATTTATGTAGTAATACTGTGTCAACACAATTATGAAACCTAATGTTAATTGTGTAAGATTGTGTTTAGATGGGACCATGTTGGCATCTGTGCCCTGGTTGGACAAACGCCAAGTTCCAAAAAGCTGTGCGTGTCAGTGCTTGTAGGATCAATGTCTGATTTGAAGCACCCGTCCAAAATGTGATCGTTATCTTTCATACAATGAATTACAAAACACAGACTAAACATCTAACTAAGCAAATGGGAGTCCCGAGAACTCTACCAGCATGTCCCTGGAACAGAGCAGCTGACTCTGTGCCAAGTGGGCTCTGTATGCCTTACCTTGTACGTGTCCACCAGTCTGGCATGTGGGAAGTGGAACGGGGCAATGAACAGACGGACACACTCACTCTTCACCCCGTCACGATACAGGTTATCGGCGATGATCCGGGCCACAAAGTTCTTGCCCGTGCCGGACCAGCCATGGAAGGAGAGGGTGAGTGGCTTGTTGGACTCTGGGTTGTTGATAAAACCCTGGATGGCTTTCAGTACCACGGACTGAGCCAGGTGCTGTCCGTGGAGCTTCGTCTGAAGGTCCCTCGCCAGACCTGCACAATGTGTGCAAAGAGGAGAGTGCAAGCTTCTGAATGACAGTGACAGATAAAGAAAAATCTAAGAAATAATGCAGGGCTCTGAATAAATACTCAGATTTTTACAGTATGCATGGATATGAATGTTTCTTCAAAATATGTGACACACCAGCTAATAACTTTTTCATCTACTTGGTGTAATTTGCATTCCCTTCTAAGCCAGATCATTTCAGCAATAGTATTTACACTTGTTGCTAAAGCACAAGAATTTGTATTTCCTAGTTTATGCCACAAAGCCCTGATTTTCAACAATTATTTTTTCAATATTCTGTGACAATATTCACTCTCTGACATTCTTTGTCACATGCAACGACTTAACGTATTTACTTATACAGCTAACGGACAGCTAACAAATGGCATTAAACTTTCTGACCTCTAATGGGTGCAACTACAACAACACTGCTAAAGAGCAAAGCACTCTGAAACCCTTCTCCAAGAGTACTTTGGGTCTCTACAACTCACTGAAGCCAAGTAACAGTTCTGCTTAATTCTAAAAAATATTATTAAAATATCTGACCTTATCTGTGGTGGCAGCCCAGTGTACGGACATGTCGTGTGTTCACATCAAAAAGAACATATTACATAAATGTAGGTAAGACAATTAAAGCAACTTTCATTATTGCTTTCATGGTTATAAACTGACAGGAGTCACTGATGTCTGGCTGAACATAGATGATAAACTGTAAATCTATAACTACTGTAAAACAAGGTAACAATAGGCCCAACAGGACAGGTGAAGAAATAAGACATGACATTTTTTTAAAAACAGATAATCCTCTATCATGGGTGTGAGGGAGTGAGGACTATTTCACAACACAGACCCTGAATTGAAAAAGAAAACAGTAAATGAAATCTTCCACAGCCATATCAAGACGGTACGTATATATTTGCAGGCTCACTAGACTAACCAGCACACCCACACACATCACTGGGACCATATGTGCGGACAGTTTCTACCATCAAGCTGGAGTGTGATACCTGTGATGTTGTTGGTTATCCTGCAGTCTCCAGATTCACAGCACTGGCCCAGACTACAGTACCACTGATGCAGCAGGCTAATGTAGTCGTGAGGAAAACCTGCCCAAAGGTCCCTGGTAGGAACTGCTCGCATGGACAGCAACACAATAAATCAGTTTTTATAACAGTGCTGTAACCACTGAGTAACATATCAATACTATGCTAATCAAAACGGAGGGTAATGTAACATGCATAATGGGCAAGCTATACATTGTGGTAAATGTGACTGGCATTATATAATAGCTTATGATAGCTTTCGTTGCAAAAAATCATTTTAAAACTCTTATTTCTCCTACCTTGCTGTGTAGCATCGTCTTGGTTGGGCTGACACTCCCCCTCCCAAATATTGCAATAAATGTAATTAAAATAATAAGTGGAAACATTGGAGATGCTGTCGAACTGGAAGAAATCGGCCTCTGCAGTCAGAGCCCCGAGCAGAGGCAGAAACCACCGCACATACATCGGGGAGGAGGCTGGTCCGAGGCGGTCAAGACGAGACTAGAGACCGAGACCAGATTTTCTTCTCCCATTTATGAGAACCCGGCCATCTGCTAGCGGCCTGTACCGTGTGGGGTATGTCCTCCTCCCCCCGCTGTAGATCACAGCGAAGGAGGGGCGCTTGTCTTACGCCTATGTGCAGCACTTGCAGGCGGTCACTTAACTCCGCCCGTCTTCAAATGGTCCGCTATTACCCGCATTCAGGGACTTATTAAACTATAGTCCACGTATTTGCAGCAAAGGCAAATCGAGACACTGGTTTGTTTAACCTAAAAATATATTACGACATGCAGCCGGCACGCGAAAGGTAAGCCGGGAACTGCAAATAAAGTGACCATTGCTAGAATGGAGAGCACAATACAATGTCCACCCTCAGACTCTTTTAGACTTTGTGGCGCGTTCCCGCTAACTCCACGAGGGCCTAGGGCTGTCCCACTGTAAAATCATTGCGTGCGGGCCCTTTAAAACACATTTTGAGCCTTTTGTGCACTTTTAAGTCAGCACACTGCCTTAGGGAATTACCCACAGTTCGTAGCGTTGTGACGTTAAACACGGGGTTACCGTGGCTACCAGGGCACGCCCGGAAGCGTTAGATGCCACAAAACGAAGGAAAAAAAATAATAATAAAAAAAAAAAAATATAGCAGGAAAAGCGTGAACCCTCTGCTTTAAAACCTCTTTGAACCCGTGCCACCTCTCGCACTCTTACCAGGTGATAAATTAATGAGGGTTAACAGCTTAGGCCGAGGCATTTCTATGACCATATTTGAGAAAAGCCAGAGGACAACTAGGTAATTTCCCGTGTCGTCTTTGGCATCAGAAAGTCAAAAAGGTCGGCCAAAAACGTTATTTACCCATTCAGTTAGCACTACAGTATTATGTGTCAACATGAATTATTTCATAATCCAGTTTATGTACTAGTTGAAAAAAAAAAAAAAAAAAAAAAAAAAAAAAAAAAAAAAAAACCCCAACACTGCACGTTTTGTTGGTACAGACTGTACTTTGAACACAACACAAACAGCCATAATATTTTAGTATTTATTGCCACAATGTTGCAAGACAATACAAACAACTGACACGTGATATAACAGGAGTACAGTCAAATCTATAACAATTTTGTTTTCATTTATCCTAGAGTCTAACAAGGCTAATTCATCTCAACACCAATCTCCATGGACTTGTCGGACAGCCGACCCTCACAACTCAAGTATCATTATCCAGACAAACCAACTTCAGCAGGCTCACTTCGGCCCTGAGACAAGAGGCTCGGGTTTTTGCATCCACAATCCTAAAGGGAACGGACAGATCAATTAAAAATCAGGGAAAAGGAGCAACACAAAAAACCAAATACATTTCATGACCACACAGCCTCAGACAAAAATGGAACGGTAAGGGTTATAATCAAGAGTAATCATTTGGCAGAATCTTTTCATCACAGGTAAGGTGGTCCAGTTGATCTTAAATTTATGCCAGCCACTGAGAAATTTCTGTCAGAAACTTCACTGCTGACCAAAAGCAAAATGAACATGGGGTGCTCAAAAATTAGTTCAAAGACCATGAAGTGCTTACCAAGCTCAGTCTGATAGATGTAGCCCTTTCCTGGAGATGAGAGAGGAATAAGCTTATTACAAGTCAGTGACTGGTTGATTAAGATTTACTTCACCAGGTTACTCAGTAACAGATGTTGTCCACATTTTAGTTCAGGTCAGACATTTGTTTGGACATCACTGAACCCATGAAAGTCTCTGTAGAAGTGCATGCATTTTCAATCTCACCTCAGTCGATCTTGTCTTTGCTGTTCAAGCTGGCTCAGAGAGCGATTGTGACCTGAAGATAATAGAAAAGTGTAAGTTAAATATGCGCATGAAGTGTCAGGATGATAGTTTCTACATTGACCAGGTCAGCTAGAGCTAATATAACAGACTCCATGATTTACAGTCAGTCTTCACTTAGTCATCACACAGGCCAGACTACAGGGATCACCACAAGGTTCACTACAAGATCCCAACTAATGTACATGTGCAGCTCTTTCAGACCCAGGTGAAGCAGCACTCAGGGGGAGCCGTTTTTACAACTCCAATCTTAGTCATGTGATTGAAAAATATGTAATGTAGGATTAAAGGCAGCTGATCATCTGGGTCTGAAGTGCTGGAAATGCTGTTGATTTTCATACTCACCTCATTTGTGTGACATCTTGTGCAAACAACCGTTATGCCATTTGGTCTGCAAAGTTAGAATAGTTTGTCAGTTAGACTTTTTTTTTAAAAAAAAAAAGGGGGAGTTCTATTTCTAATAACCAGATCAGAATAAAAATGACCTATTTCCTCAACTGGATCAGAGACCTGATTCAAATTCATCACATCTGAATGATTTTGCGCACACAATGTTAACATGATGTGAAGTGATACTTACCAACAAGACTGAAGAGTCAGCAAAGGTTGCATGTCTGGTGAGAAAAGAGAAGAACTTAATGCTGTGCCTTAAATACTTCAGGGCTTATGAACAATTGCAGCTGACACATCAGCTAGGAGCGAAAGACAATAGTTCTTCTTCACTGTTTAATCTGCTGAACTATGCAATCATCATTATGTCAAGCAACAACTAAAAGATCAAATTAGATCAGCCTTTCAACTCACCTTTGTCTTTTGCAGACAGCCACTCATTTCTGAAAATGAAAAGAAAAATTAAAAATCACTTCAATAAATCAAGTGGCCTCATAAGTGAGGGAGGCCGACACATCAGATAGGAGCGAAAGACATATTTCTTCGTCACAGTTATCAGCTGAACTATGCGATCATCACTGCATCAGACCAGTTTGATATTCAACAGGTCAACTCTTAAAGCACAAACTCACCTGAAACTGAGCCAAGAATATTCTAACCATATCCATGAGTACCAAGACCATCTGCAAGTCAAACACAAGACATAATTAAAACCTAATATATAGTAAATAAGCAAGCATTTCTTAAAATCAGTACTGCATCAGAAAAAAGTCATCTTTCACTCTTTTTCAGAGAGATTCCCATTGTTTTAAAACAAAAGTCATCATTGACAGTTTGTGTTGGGGACAATAGGTCAAATAAATTTTAGTTCCATTACCTGTTTGATGTTGTCCAGTCAATTCAGTGAACATGACCACACCTGCAGGAACACAACATAAATGAGCAATCAAAACAATAATGTCAAGATTGGAGGTATAAACTTGACAGTGCCTCAGATAATGTAACATGGTGGGTACGAGTATCGTCATCCATCTTGTCAAGAGTAGCAAATAAATGTCATCACAGCAGCACAGGGGTCATATAGAATAAAAGGCAGACCCATGCTTCTCTGGGTTGTGTAGCGAGTCCAGCCATAGCTGCACCTCAAATGTTTAAATCTGTAGCACACCACGACTGCAGTAATTAAATGATGCAGCTTGAGTTTCAACCCCCCCCCCCACCTAGCTGTCTGGCAGTTGCCTAGTCTCCTGGCTCAAAATGAGGCAGAGATGGTACCATCCTGATCATGTGTAATGTGCCTTCAACTGGCTCAAGGTTACACTTTACAACATTTTAGCAGTTCTGGTGCAAATAGTTCCCAAAAAGGACAATAAGCTAATGATTTAAGAGATGCAATCTTGAGCTTTTTCATAAAGCCACATTTTAAAGACTAAATTTAAAAGCATCCAAAAAATAAATGGTAATTGGAAATTCTAATGGAATGCATACCGTTTAAAGATAAGGGTTTTAAGTCACTGTTCATCTGTTGCAGACTGCTGATCTCAATAATAGGGCTATTTTGTTACAGTTGCTGAAATGTTAAACTATCCTCAAAGAATTGCCCCCAAAAAAAAAAACAAAAACACCCAAGTACAGATACAGGAACACCTCAGAGAAGCATGAATCCTTCTAGACAGCCACACTGAGCAACACCATGCCTCACCTCCTCCAGTTACATCATGTCTTCCGATTTTCCTGAAACCTGAAGACACACACAATTAGTATTATACTGACAAGATCAGAGAGCAGTGAGCACAGCTCAAATAGAGAAGTCTCAGTGTAAAACGACTCAGAAATCACTTCTGTCCACTACTCTTATATCAAAAATCATCAGTGACTTCCAGTTAGGATAAATAGTTTTTAAAAACATAAAAAAAAAATCCAATTACCAGTGTAGCATTTGATGACTTCTAGAACTTGGACACATCCTTTTAAACCTGAGGAAAAGAAATGCATTTTAGTTACAAATCTCTGACACACCCATCTGTAATGATGGAGTGACACCAACTAAACTCATTACCATTCTATTACTGAACCTCAGTGAAGTAGTTTCATAAATCACTTCCAACCACCTTTAACATATGACCACAAACGAGCATTTCTGGTTCCTTACCGTATGTCCACCTTCATGGTTCAGAAATCCTGTCGACGGGCCTGCAAGCACAGATCAGAAACATTATAAACTTAAGCACATAGATCGTTTAAAATACGCAGTTCTGTCGTTTTGAATATTAAACATTAAATCTCAAATACGGTTCGCCCTGCAGCTAGCAGCATAGGAGCTTCGCAGCTAACTTAAAATGGCAGCGTAAAATTCTGAACGATTGTCCCATGCAATCAGAAATGTTGGCGTTTCTTCACATTTACTCAGATGTCCCTACCAACATTTATTTCATCATATAGCCATGGGGCAAAGCTGCACTGAGATAGAAGGGATGATTAGCATCATTAGCAACATGCGCGGCACAACACGTGGCTGAGGCCTGTTCCTGCTGCTAGCATAACTACTTCACACGAAATAAAATATTTATCTGAAACAACATATCCAGCGGGATAAACATACACATTACAAATTTACAGACATAAAAACGGCTTAAATAGACAATTAACCCCAGGTAAAGGGCCACATCCGCAGTGAAAAGGAGAAGGACGCACTCACCTATCAGACAGCCGGAGAATGAGAGAGGGCAGAGGGTGCAAGGCGCTTTTATATGAGATGTCGCGAAGAATGATGGGAAAAAAATTGTCCGGCGACTAGCGCCCCTGCTCGACCAATGAACAGAATTAAACCAAACTACAATTATATTTTGTGAAACAGAACAAAATAAAAGGTAGGTAAATAACTGAGGTGGACGATATGGATACATGATTTTTCAGTTCATAAGGTACTTCTGACTAAAAGTAATGCAATCTAATACAACAGCATAAATCCAACCTTCATGAAGTTTATAATGTTCAGTTCGTGTCGAAACTGTTTTTTTCAACTTCAGGGTCATTTCGGGGGAATTATTTTTTTGTTGTTGTTATGCTACTTACATTTCATTTTGGAGGATGTAGTTCATGTTGGTATTGAACTGTACTGCGTCACACTGATAGCTGTTTCTATTATTTTATCCACCCCATTTATGTTAGTCAGAAATACCTCTCTATATAATGCACTACAGTTCAACAGTGCCACACACTGTAGTGTCCAAAATAATCATACAGTTGAATCAATAGCTCTCTGCAACAGTTTCAACACAAATTGTACATTCTAACCTTCATGAATGACGAATTATTGCATCACTGTTGTTTTAGCCAGGAGTACCTAATAAACTGCCAACTGAGTTTCTCTAGAAAATCAATTGAGAAACTGTTTACACACACACACCAAGAAAAGTCATTCAAAACTTTGTTAGTGTATGTGCTATGCAGGCTTCAACTTTCCATGTCACACTTGTATAAGATCCCTTTTCCAGTGTCAAATCCACACTGCACAAACATCATTCTGCATGTTGGAGATCAAACAATCAGGAGAAGTAAAACTGACCAAAACACATCTTTGAGTGGAGGGGTTCTTTAAATATCTAACATATAAAACTACTTGGTCACATTAATGCAGAAATCATATATAAATTCTATCTTGATCCACAAGGGGTTGTGCATGTATAAGTGATATGGTATATCATCTCATGATATCTATCCACTACTACCACTTAAAGAAAAGTATAATCAAGAAGTAAATGTTTTACCGTGAAATGTAATCCAAATATATTTATTCAACATATACCAAGACGAATGTTGAGGACATTATATTGATGGCAAACCCCAAGGGGTCCAAAAAGATGCAGGTTCACTTTGTCACTCGTTTAATTGGTAATTAACTGAAAATTAGTAAGGGATTTGTACCACTAAAGCACAATTTCAAGTAAGACCAGTGCTGCATTATAATCTAATCTTCAGAGTCTTGCACAGAGATCAAATCCCCTGGACACCCACACAGTTGTTTTGAAATGCTGTTTGGTTTTAAACCTGTAGTCAAGTGATAGTGGGGTGGAGCTACGCTGGGAATATAATGATGCAAACCAGCTCTGTGTACTAATAATGAAGATAGTTGGGTTTAGTATTCCCACTGTAACAACTGCATCAAAAAAAATAACAGAGGGGTGATGGGGGACATGTCAATCAATGTCATGTCATGTCATGACGTGTCATTTGTGGCCAATGACGTTAATTCAAGTAACATGCAGACATATTCTTCCTAAAGAAAAAACTAAATCTTAGCTTCCTCTCTGTCTTAAGAAGATGCTCTTTGAAAGAACCATGACAAAATCTCACAGGAATAAACTCATGGAGATTTAATATTATGCATCAATAAACAGGAGGATCTGATACAATCAATGGTTATGATCAGAAGGAAATAAAAAATACATTTGTTTTGATTGCTCTCTATCAGGCGATACTGAGTGATACTGAAATGTATGGCAAGGCCTCGATTCAATATAATTTACAAAGACAAAACATGGAGGAAAAAACAAAGTAATAACTTTAAATTTAGCTTGGACTCAATTTAATTTGGCTTGTTTCTAAAGGCATTTTTGTCTGCTTTAGAGGAGGATTGAAGTCCAAAGCAGCAAACACACCACAAACACAGGCATTTATTTTCACCTAGTGTGTGACTGGATGTGCTTACAACACCAGGAATGTGTCTTTATAGATCCCTTCACCAATTAATTGAATTCTAAAGGTCCTTTACGATTCATCTGAATCAATCAGCTTACTTAATGTAATGGCCAAACATCTATGAGACAAAATAATGAAATTGCACACAAAAATAACACGGGAGGGCTGTTACGAGCTTGCTACAGCATTGAGAGATATTCTCAGGCATTTTCAGGTGAAAATTGTTTATTTTTGTATCTCATCCAAATATGCCTCATTTAGATCCAACCCATGTAGCTGTAAATAAGAGAATGAATGATGGTTCGAAAAAGCATAGGTGTACAGTAGGATAAATATTGCCCTCTATGTGGTTCTTATCTTGAAAAACATTGGACAAAAAATTAATATTACAAGAAAACTGAACCGGTAGAACACAGTCTGGCTCCTCATTTTCACTCTCCTCACCCTCTGACAACACGAAGAATGGACGTCAAGGTGGTCCACTCAGACATCAGGGATTTTGGAGAGGATACCAAGATAGGTGATGTGCAGAACAAAAGGGAGACTTCACAGACTCAGTCCTAGCTTTACGTCCTCATTGTGGACCAGTGATCCAGAAAAGACAAAAATATGTAAACAATCATTTGTTCATAAATGCCTTCAGGTAACATGGAAACATTTTTAGCGGATTGTTTGTTCTCTGTCCAGATCAAAGTCCCTTTTGCCTTTTCTTTAAACCTTTTTGGCATAATGGACATCCAAATTTGTCCTTTTGACTGGCAACGTAAATTATTTCTATCTACATTGCATATATTCCATAAACCTATACTATGGGTTATGCAGGGCTTTCCTTCTGGATAACACTTGGGACGCAGAACAGTGTGAAGGACCAAATAGATGGCAAGTTAACTTTTAAATGGGAACAGAACATCAAATGGGTAAATGGAATGATTGCTAAAGATGTAAAGCCATCAAGTTCATATCCTCAAATATTTTACACTATTGCCAGAAAAAAAAGAAAAAAAAAAAGAACGTTGAAAATAAAAAAAGAATATATATTCATATATCCATCATATGTATATCATATCTATATATAAACAACAGTTATAATTAGTTGCAGGCAAGCAGAGAATTTCTCCCCCGCCCCTTTAAGATTCATCCGTTCCACCGTTATAAGGCTGTCAGACTCTCAGAGGGGGCAGCAGCTTTTTTTCCTCAGTCACCAGATTCCCTGAGATGTAGAGCGCTGTTTTATTTGTCAAGGTTTATTTGATTTGAACACCATCAACCACACACCCCTTTACCACCCCCCCAAAAAAAACCATGTGTGTTGGGAAATGAGTGCTGCTCTGTCGTGTGGAGCTGATGATGGGTGTGGTCGTGAAGCTGACGGACAGAGTCGAGAGACGAGATGCATCGGCGCTCCCGTCTCCACTCTGCGCTGCCGAGTCTCATGTTGGCGGGTATCGGTGGCGGTGGAAGTGAGATTGCCCAAATAAGGAGAGGAGGTTTACTAATTTTCATGTTACATCTTTGATGCTTTTCCATTTGATTTCATTCATTTCCATATGGTTGTTTTACAGTCAAATGCAAAGCTGTGTACATATTCAATCATCAGTCATTCCAAGGCTTGGATAAGAAGTGGTTTTGCAAAAGAGTTCTTATGAAGACTCTGCTGTGTGTGCATTTCTTTATGCATATGTATGTGTGTGTATCAGAGTGTGCGTAGTCTTCTCAGTGCCTCTGAGAGGCTAATCTCTTTAATAGAGGATCATCGTAGACCCAGCACTCCCCATCCTCATGGAATAGCTGCAGAAACGCACAAACAATAACAATTATTACACTCAGTTCATCTGAAACAACTATATTAAAATAAAACTACAATATTATCTAATATTTTTAACACAGATCTCTGTCTACATGTGAAACAGAGGTGTTGGATCTGTGTATATTTCAAGTACATTGTAAGCTTTCTGCCATCATTTTCCTTTTATTTTGAATGTTATTGCCAATGGGATCTGAATACAAACTGTGAACTTAAAAATAACTCAAATTTTAACTTTAATTTTTGCTAATGTTATCTCATTATGTTGTATTCAGATTCAGTCATTTGATGTCCAAAAAACAAGAATATATAGTGATTGATAGGGAAAAAGATGCATGTCAAGGTCACAATATTTTAGTAGTGTGTGGTCTCTTCTCACACAGTGTTCATGTTCTTTGAGGCAGCTGAAAAACAAAAGGCAGGCAGACTCACCCTAGTCTCCCACTGCTGCTCGTTCTCCTTCCTATCTCTTGCTTCGGCTCTCTGTTTCTCCTCCAACCGGTGTTTGGCTTCTGTTGCTGCATCAATGTCTTTCAGTTTCAGGTTCAGCGTCACATCTCTCCACAATCTGATGGATTAAAGAGTTAAAAGTCAAATACACAAACAGGCTGGTATTTCTCCAAGTGAAGAATTTTGTTTCGGCATCCTTTCCTAAACTGGTTAAAGGTTACAAAACAGTTTAATTTCTCACCTTCGGGACTCGTACTCGAGTTGGTCTTCCAGCTTTCTCACTTTCTTCTTGATGATACCCATCCTTTTAGTATCTATGAACACTGTGTTCTCCTAGAAACACACAAAATGCACATTCATTCATTGTTTAATGTTATTTACTGCAAAACCACTTCTTTAGTAGTTATTCCTCAGTGCAGTACAATTTTACGAGTTTCCCCTTAGTGATTATTGTCTAATCTGATGAATAACCTCCACCAATCAAAGAAAAAATTTAAAAAAAGAAATAAGAAAAAGAAATAAATATAGGACTCACTCCAGTTGCCCACTTAGCATACATCACTCCGTTCCATTCCCCTTCAATGGAGCAGAAAGACTTCTTATCATTAGGTGAGCTGCAAGAGAAACAGAAAAGAATGATAATACACTTCATTAAAAAGGTCTGGATCTTTTAACCTTTATCAGTCTTTGAACTGTGATCTAAAATTGAATTGTGCAACCATTTTCTTCTTACAAAATCTCAGCAGTGATCCTGTGCTTCTTTCCTCCGTAGA